CAGTCCGCAGTAAATGGGCGTTGTCATGGTCACCCCATCCTTGTAAATAGAACATGTGTAAAATGCAAGATTCTTTAAATTGTAATAACACGTACATTATTATTTTGATTATTAGACCTTTAGCGTGTTATTAGTTGGTTTACAAAATGTTAGGGCTAAAATACAATGTATTATATGGAATATTTGTTACACACATCTTTTTTGTTTTACATTTCAACTTCAAGATTAGTACTGCAACAAATAAATCAAAAACAAACAAGAGTTAACATGGCAAGATAAAAAAAATTGATTGTGTATTTTTTTCATCAGATTTCTAGATATATTACCAGTACCGGTATTCACCAAAGAGCGGTGAAAAAATAAGGTCGGACATAAATATTTTTGTCAAATGTCATCTCTCTTTTATAAAATTCATTTTTAAAATTTTCTTTGGTTGGTCAGTCTCACAAACCAACTAAAAACTAAAATGTTTTTAAAGCCTTTCCAAATCTTTCTTTCCTGAAATAAATATTTCAACAGATATGGTACTATCTGAAAACAATTAATAAATGTCAAAATTTTCAAATATTTGGCAATCCGCCAAAGGGTATGATAACATTTCACTGAAGTACACCAGGATTTGTAAAAAATTCATGTCAGGCTAAAACAAACAAGAAGAGGCATAATCAGCAGTAAGACACACAAACCTGATAAACGTGAAAAATACGCGATTTTCGAGAAAATACGAGGAAACTATATTTATGGAAACTATATTTAATTAGTATGCGATTACAGACAATCTTCGAAGGATAACACAAGGTTTTTGTGACTTATTTATGAATTCAATGTACAGTCTGTGTCAAAAACTGCTATCTCAACAAACCCTTATCTTCATAACAGTAACATATTGGCTGTTATAACCTTATAAATAGAGCAAAAGAAACTGGATTACGATATCAGATGTCGGTTAAGGTTGCAGTATGAATATATTTATATTTCAGAGAAACATTAGGAAATGTTACCTACAAGTTTTAATTATTTCGACATTGACCGAGAAGGTTCAGAGGCTGGAATTTCTCTGGGCATAGCGACAAGCATGGAAACATTTTGGTGAATAATATCACCAGCAGGGCTATACGCATTGATGGGGGTCACACTGATGCCGTTTAGATTGAATTCACAGAGTGAAACAGAACATGTAAACATCATAATCACCGAGAATATGACATTAGAGAACAGGAGAACTATTTAACTACACAACGGGTCGGCAGAATATATCTCGGTAGAATGTCTGTTTCCCCGTATACCCAAACAAAAACAGTCACATTTGAGAATACACACCAATAAAAAATCAATGGACTTAGAAAAAGATTTACATAAAACTATAAACTACGGACTAATGGGAGATGGAAAAGCTAACTAAAATAACAGTGGATATTGTTTGTTTTTGTTAATTATATGAATTAAAGAGATCTACAGGTTTTCGCTGACACAACAACAAATCATTTCAAAATTCATTTTTGTGTAACTATTTTACCAAATTATTATTTTTAACACGCATATATGTTTCTTGTATACATATACAGGGAATATGTGATATTTATATACAAATATAGCTGCTCTTGAATGATTTGTAAATCTACCTATCTGGTCTCTCGTACCACAAAGAAGTGGCAGATGATAGTTTCTCACAAGGTATGACTCGTGTAACGTGATCCTCAAACATCTATAGTTAGTCACTGGATGGAGAGTGGTCACACTGGAACATGAAAGCTATCAGGATATTAAAAATACCATTAATCTTGTTCAGGGAGTTTCAGGTGGCAATCGGCTGATGAGAAAATACACTCCTCTCTGCACGTGTATATATTAGGTCTGTATAAAATAAGGATAAATAAATAAACATATAAACATATAAAATATATAAATATATAAATATATGAATATATAAAAGATATAAAAGATATAAAAGATATAAAAGATATAAAAGATATAAAATATATAAAAGATATAAATATATTGTCAGTTACACTGAGGGCTGTCATAAGACCGCGAAAGTACTATGTCTGAAACTGATGTAAAGAAGATGTTTGACTAACGTGGACTTTATTATTTTATTATATATTACATATACACCGAGTGAATATTGACCTCATTTTTGTAAATATATTAATATATAAAATATATAAAAATAATAATTTAGCTGCAAACTAGTTCGAAAATAAATGTAATCAGTACATTTTATATAATTTTTTAAGACCTTCATATTCTATAGTTGAAATATTCCTCCGAAGATTCTAAATGGAATGTGGTGGATCGTTTACCCTTCATAAACATCTGGAACAGGAACAGTACCAAGTTATGTTGTAAAGGTTAGTTTTATTCAGACATTATTTCTCGGAAGTGAGGTAACATCAACGAGAAGTCGTCCATCACACAAGCTCTTGAACGGATTTGAACAATTCTAAAATGCAAAACCTCTTTGTTGATGTGAGTACAAAGTTTCATGATATTCATGAGTTTCACGAAGATATTCAAACATGAGTCGCACTCTGTGAAACTAATCCTCTTATAAAGATAAATATATGTACAAAAAATTTTTTTTAAGGTGACAGCACAAAGTTTTAGAATTGAACCCTGGAAAGGAAAACAAACTTCATTCCTGGGTACAATCCAAAATCCTTGTGCAGTTTCCTTAGAAAAGCTTTTATTACCAAGCTTTTGCCGATTTTTTATCCTTAAAAATAGAAAAAATAGCAACACTCGGTTGTGATTGCACAGCATCTAGATGCAATTTCTAATGTGGTTTTATTAGTTTTACTCTGGAAACGAAGCGAGACAGGTGGATCTATTTTCCATATCACAGCCAATCTTATAGAAGCCGCCATAACAAACGTGCCATTCTTTATCAAGCTGGTATGTTCATGGCAAATTGCTGTCTACAGAGATATGAACATCTATATTGCACAATTTTTAGCAAGTGCACGTCATTTAGAGGCTGTATATTCCTTACGTCTCACAAAATCTATGAAATACTGCTTTTATTCTTGGAAATTGAGAAATAAAAATCAATTACATCTGAATTAATTATAGAATTGAATTCAAATAAATAATAAAATAGTAAGATCAAATGTTTCTTTGAGTATGAACATTCATTCCATGCCAAATAACGCAATAAAATTTTAACAGTCTGTAAACAGAACTCAACGTACATTCGACGCCTGAATAAATAATTTTCGCCACAAATAAAGCAAAATATTCACAAAATGCATTCAGTTATGTCTCATATTTATTGATTTGAATCTGCTAACTTATTAAAAACTCATACCCGAAATTCCAGGACAGTTGTGATGGGCTGCTGTTCTCAACACTTTACATGCAATTACCATCAAATGAAAGGTGCCACATCTATTTCCCTGGACTTTATCTGTTAGCAACACCTGCCGTACCTAGTGAACTGTTCTAAACTTGTCTACTAGGGCAGGAGTAAGCCACATACTTCATGTCTGCTTTTCTCATGTTCATAAACATGCTTATGATAGATTTCCCTTGGGATAGTCACAGTCTTTCATCATTCCAATTTCCGAGGGGTTTCTTTTCCCGAACACAATTTCCCGTTATGTTGTATTTTAATTCACGGGCAACTGTCTCTAGTCCTCCACAGAACTGATATATGTTCTGTAACGACAGAAATTGTTTGCTTGAGTGTTAAGTTTTCGACTGCTATGGTATCGAGTTTTGAAAATTCAAAGGATGTGTGAAGTACTATTGGGGACTTTTCAAGATGTCTTGTTAAATATTCGTTGCTGAATTACGACGGACTTCAAAAATTGATAATAATTTCGAACTATAAGGTGACAACACAAACTGTACACATGAAAATCAAAGTGGCAGCACTTATCTTGTGAAGCAAATTTGAAGGAAAAATATTAAACATTGTTGTGTAGAAATACAGCTTGAATTGTACTAACCTACTAAACAAAATACACAGATTTTACTCACTATATTCCTTCAAACAATGTATCCATGACATATGTGTGCAAGACTTTCAAGAGGTTACTTGTCTGAATATCAAGTAAATATGTAATGTCAAAGCCAGAGAACTAGTCTGGATCATCTGTCAAAACAGATTCCACCGGGCGTAAAAGGTGAAACAGAGGGGGAAATTATATGAATGGATCACCAATAAATCAGTGATGACACCAGATGTTTACAAAAAGACTAAATACATCCTGCCACCCGCCACGCACACAATTTGCAAAAAAGTAAGTAAGTAAGCACTCTGGTGAATGAATCATCTACTGAGGCAACAGAGTGTTAATTATATAGGTATTTCCACATAAAAAACACATATAGGACGTTTTTAGCAAACATTTGTAATATCAAAATGCTTACTAAAAAAAACATGTGCAGAAGATTATTTTTAAAAAAATGGTTAGTAATGGTTAGTTTTGTCTGAATGGTTAATAGCCTTATGACCAGCGAGTTTTAATTTTTTTTCAATTTTTCAATTTCTTATTAAAAACATAATGAAACGCTTTGCTGTGGCTCTTTAGTTCTTACAGCAATCCTCCTCACAAACAATTTGTTGCCAATAAGCTGAACATGATAATGACCAACCCCCAAACATGCAGACATTTTGAAATTTAGATTAAAAATTCAGGTTGGATTTTAGAAACTCATTTGAAAGACATGAAAGGTATCCAAAACAATGAAATTGTGTTGGTCAATCTAAAATACAGATAGGTACTCTTTTTGGCACTCCAATATTATTGCCTAGCACAATTTAAAACTATTATTGAACATTAAACTTCTATTGAAATAATCTTGGTCTTTGTCTTCAGTCCAATTTGATTTTCCAATAATTCCTTAAAGAAAATAGCAATGTGTTTTTAAATGAACACCCTCACAAACTTTAAACAATTCAATTAAGATTCTAATTTACCTGATTTCACCTCATATCAACTTTCAGCCGAGAACACCCTGAAGTTGTCGATACTTTAAAACTTCTTCATTCCGGGCAAAGAGCAAACAAAGAATGGGAGATAACTCCTGAGGTCTCCAGTGGCATTGACTGTTGGCATGGCAATATGGCAGCATAAAGAAGCCTGGATGTGATTGGCCGAGGCTGTCTGCTACTATAACATCCCCACCATTCAGTGTGCTATTCTTATCTGACCAGCACATGTGTGGGTACTGCTCCTTGCTAGGTTGTGTGGAGGCTGGAACTTTCTCGCCCTCACCTATACACACATTTTCACAGGGACAGTTCGACTATTCTTATAACTGTGTATGACGACGTTTGGACAATGGATACTCTACCTCTGCAATCGTTATTCTTTCTCACCTCTCTCTTACAATCATGGACAATAGTGAGCTGCAATACAGTGTGGGACCATCTCTCTCGTAAGTACCAATAACATTGTCAATTAACCACATCCCTCGCATCACTGACCAAAGGATGTTTAATAAAGACTATCTCTGAAAAGAGATTTGTGTGCGAGGGATGGAGTGCCGTCAAAGTGGCTTATGGTTGTCATTATTTTTCGTTGTTTTTTCAACCTGACGACTACTGCTATTACAGTCGAGCTGTATCGTCACAGATGTCATTCCGTGTTGACATTCATGTGACAACCAAACCTATAACGCATTCGGGAGAATTTGGCTGAATGAAACAAGCCGCTTGTTCTTTCTCCATAAAGATGGCTCCAAGCTATTGTCTTCCATTATTGAATTTTCTATAACAATAAAGGCTTAGGAACAAATAAAGTATTAATTATGTCAATATTTGACTGGTCTTCTGGTCTCATACGGGTAGGCTGGTCTTGGAACCAGACACACCAACAGCTTGAGATTATTTTGATGTTTTTTGAAAATTTAACCAAATTTTCTTCACAAAAACAGTATATTAAAATCATGTTCAAAATATTGTGCATTTTAATTTTTTGAAAAAGAAGTGATAATTACATGATTGTTTTTTTCTGATGACAAATTTTAAACTCAATTCAACAATAGTTCAACACACCTGTAATCAAAATCTGAAATTGTCTGTTAAGCAATGAATGACTCATGCAGACGTAACGAGCCATCATCCCTATCTGGAATTAGCAGCATCTTCGATGGTGACAGTCAGGCTTACAGCAACACTCATTGTTTCTACCTCCTGTTAAGAGGACATAAGCAAGGAAGATAAATCCTGTATACTGTTAATAATGTAATCAATAGAACTGTATAGTCTGGGATGTATTGCCTATGTCTCCCTATACAACCAATCTGGTCTCACAGTGTCCATCCATCTTCCTGGCAATGTGGTCTGTGGTGAAATTATGTCTCTAATGGACAGATTAATATAACCAGCTCTTTTGTTTTATGTTTCACGATGCAACCGGCTTGCTGTTGTGACACTAAAATGTTATATACAGCTTCCAGCAGATGCTATAAAACCAGGGTGGGCTTCAAGAAGACAAATTTAAGCTGTTGATTATTTCATAGTACCAAATGTCCTGGGGGGTTGCACAATTATAATTAGGTGGGGATTAATCGTGATTGTGCTGTTAAAATCTTTGTTATAATTTGACAGGGGTGGTTTGTGGAGTCTTAGTGGCTGTGATGCACTTACATATTTACAGTTGGGATGCTGCAACCTCTAGAAGGCCTTACCAGTGGATAAACGTAGCTACAATCTCTATCGGTTGAGGTTCGCCCATTGCGTCGTGTTATATCGCCCTTCTACTGTTGAAACTCATACGAGCAATGGAAGTGGTCACGTTCATTGTGTTTTCAGTTCTCAAGGCAATGACATATTTCCGGCACTTGCATTTGAAGAATCAATGTTTTGACTATAGTTGAGATGGGATTTTTGAAATACTCATTTGACATTGGAGGACTATCAGATTTTTGTCTAGAAATGACAGGTATCTGAGAAAATCTCAGGGGGTTTCATCCTTCAAACATCAAATCATACGATACCTTTCAGCGAACTGACAATTTTCATCAGTATCGAGGGAGTCAACAAGAACAAATTAGGAGGACTACCATTAAAAATTTATGCTGCAGAAAGACAGACTTTTTACCAATGGACATCATTTGTAGGTTTGAAAATATTCCTCGGCATATATTGGATTTAGAAGCTTTTTCACTGTCTTGTGCATTTGTTGTCATATGACAACTGAAGGGCCTGTCACACTGTACTTGCCTCTAATTCTTAACTTACATTACGCACATATAATTATTCTGACAATTCAGACATTGAATGGGGCATGACTCATCTCGGAAACTGGACTGCTTCTTCCCACAACAAATTGGTGGTAGCCATTTCATTAATTTCATTAAAACTAATCAACATTTTCAGGAAACTTTCTCGGAGAGAACATTCATGAATTAATTTTAATTTTGAAATCTGGATTATTCCTGTCCACACTCAAGAGGAGTGAGTATGAGGTTTAGACTTACATAAAAAAAATATGAACAATCCAATTTGTTGTTTTCTAATCTGATAACCTGGCCAGATGGATGAAATGCTGTACAATTGAAATCCACATTTTCTGCAAGGTCCTCGAATGCAATTTCTCCAACATAGATTTATGATTATCATGGCTGGCTATGATTACTATTTATGTTTTCTCTAGACAGATAGTTCAGAGTTGCTCACAGTTGTAACATACACCATTTTTTTTACATTTGTTTAGATTATGCATGAAATCAACAAAAGGCATACAGCCAAGAATATGTCAAACTGATGCATATTTGCTTTCCTGTAGACACAAGGATGTGTAGTCGCTATATGCCGCTTTTTAGAGCACTCTTCCAAAGCTGATAGACCCATCCAACAACTGCAGCCTCCTGTACGATGATGTACGAAAATTTATGTGGATAGTGACACGTGGAATTCATGTCAATATTGTTTATGTAGGTATCTACTTGTGGAGTCCATATAAAAAATGTTGAAAAATTACTCCAGCAGAGCTGGAAAATGTTTAGCTACAAAAACATTGGGCACAGAAATAGTGCCAGCTAGGATGATTGTGTGTATAATGTTGCACTGCAAACATTGCCTCCCATCTTTAATATTGTAATTTTGGATAACTGTCATGTTAAAAAAAAATATCTGTTGTTGATAGTTTAATGTGTTTTACATGTTATCCATGAACATCCATGAAAAAATGGACCAAAAATGTCTCTCCCCTCAACAAATAACATGGAATACTCGACTATTGAATAAGAATATGAATATTATCAACAAGTATGGAATATGTAGATTTAATTTCTTTGTCGTAAGGTCAAAATGGTCTCGGCAAATATGTCTTAAATCTGTAGTACCTTCAGGAAAACAACAGTGCTTGTAATTTCACAGGAAATGGGCAGCGTTTGCACTTTAGACTTTGATCTATTTCTAACACTGCACAAGCCAATGTTATATCACATTATCATTTTCCGTGGAGAAATTGTTACGTATTTGGGGCCTTTTCCTTCCAACTAGTGGCTTGACATCACGGCTACATCATGTCTTTTTATCTCCTATTTAAAAGAGCACCGGCTTCAGGTTGAGTGATGACTCCAAAGCTGACAGAATGACATATTTCCTTGACATGTACTCGATATTTTTACCTTGGATTATAAAGCTAAGACCTGATTTCTGTGCTGTAATTAAAAGCACTTTGATGTGAGCTCATGGTAAAGAGAACGGCTCTGTCGCCTGCTACAAGTTAATTCTGTCAATCGTACTGATAAAAAAATACTTCTCTTCAGGGAAACGTTACCTTGCTATGATTGTTCCAGTTTGGAGCATTGACCTCCAGAAACGTATTAACAGTGAGTGAGGGATGCTCTGATACCTGTGTAAAATCGGGACAATTCAACCTATTTTAACCAGCACCTAATTAATCAAGCTTTACTTTTTATTCATTCAGTAACATTAGCTCTCATCTTGATCATGATTGATGGCACACGAGTAAATATTAATGCTCAAACAATAATTACTGCAAACAACACAACAAATCATTATTGTCGAGAAAATATGTTGATCTTGCCATCAGAAGCTGTTTGTAATGAAACAGTAAATATTTCATTAATTTATCATAAATATTTATGACACTGTCTTAATTGTGGTCATTGAATGTCTAATAAAACCACAGCATGTTCATGCAAAAATATGGCCATCAAGCTGTTGGCAGGGATTTTTCAGAGTATTCTGAACTAAAAAAGTTAGGAATCAGGAATATTTTTGTGGATATTTTCATGAAATTGTGTGCTGTCTCAACAACAAAAAATATCCCCAAAATATTCATGCACCCTAACTTTTTTTGTTGAGTATACTTTTAACTAACTGTTTTAATGTACTGACCCTTCAGTGGTAAGTAATTATCAGGAAAACAGGAGCCTTAAACCGATATTTTATGTCTTCTATTTCTTGGTGTACCACACGATTATGTACAGATGAGAAATTCTCGCATTTCATTTTAATGGTGATTAGAGTCTTGGATTCTGTCAGACCGAGAACAACCAATCCGGAATATTGGATATTTGCATTAATTTCTCTCTATGGATATCTATGAGTAGATATTAGTGATAAGTAATCACCCGATCACAACAACAGATAGGAAACGGAATGTACATGTTCATCGCGAGTGGGTCGTATATTGCAGGACCAACCGACATGTACGTTGATATGATTGGGACTACTAGAGGTTGGTACATAGCTGCAATAATGACCACATAACATGCCGCCAATGTAATGGTTACTCGCAGACAAATAAAATATTGATGGGGTTTTGACATCCTATTTGTATATTTTATGGCTTGGGGCAATTTCTGCTGCAGAAACATGACAATGTTACTGATTTCGTGCACACACAAAACTAAGATGGAGGTTATGCTGTGGACTGGAAGAAGTTGATGTATGCTTATTTCACCAGGATTTTAAAAAGCATTGTTATGAGAGTGAAGACAAGAGATATTCTTATTTATGGTATGACCGGCTTAAGGGAAGAAATGGCTTGAAGAGGAAGATGACTCTAACACACAAAGTTAGGACATATCGCCGCCAGTAGAATAGGATTAATATTTAAAGGGTAATGCAGTAACAATATACTCGCAAATGATGTCGAGCTCAATTTTCAGCTTGGAATTTTATGTGTAAACTTCACAAGCTTGAGCATAGTTATGCATAAGGCATCAGCAGTATTAACCCTTACGTCACATACGATCTTTGTTTCCTAATACGAGGACAGCAGTTTTCACATTACGCCTTAATAAATTATATATTTACATCTAAAAACATAATGTGAGACAAGTTAATTTTAATATTTTATTTTTCTTCAACAAACTGTTGTTCAAGCATTTTCTGTCAGTGGATGTGTTCAAATGGCGTATTGCATCAAACAAAGAAAGAAGCCAGTATATAATTA